TAAGTATGGCAAGGGTTTGGCCTTTTTTCTCACTTTGAATCCTTGCAGTGACACTTTTCCTTTCTGTTTGTTTCCTGTGAGAAGAGCCAGCTCTTCTGGTTCTGGAACAGCACACTCTTCACAGGTTCTAGTGCCAGCTCCTTTCTGCGGATGGAGCGAGATACCACTGTGTCCAAGGGGTTGTGGAAACTCTGTCTCCTAAGTGGCAGGGCTCCTTCTGGCCTATGTAGGCATGGTTCGCCCACCCACGTTTTCACCAGTACTTGGTTTTGTTGGAATTTAAATTTTTTTTTTGATTTGGTGGATGTGTTGTTGATTGTCATTATTGTTTTAATTTCTGTTTTTAGTTGAGTTCCTTTTTAGATACTTACTGACCATATAGGTTTTCTGTTCTGTGAATATTTTGTTTCAATCTTTTGTTCCTTTGTGTCTCTTCTTCTGTTTTTGGAGTACTTTATATAATTGAGATTTTCACAGTTATATGCAGCACAGATATTTGTTCATGGTCTGTAGCTTGGTTTTTTTCTTTATGTTAACTTTTTTTAATATAGGAAAATTTCTCTTTTAATATTCGTTAATGTTTTCCTTTATGATTTATTCTTTTACCATATTTTTAAGGACTCTTTCTGATCATATGCCATAAAATATTCCCCTATACACTATTCTAAAATAATCAAAACTTGTTTTTTACATGTAATTACTAAATAAATCTAGATTTTTCTATGTTGTAAGGTCAGGATTTAATTTTATCTTTTTTTCCCAGTATCATTTACAAAAAATTATTTTCTTTCCTACTAATTCATAATGTTCAATTATATTAACCTCTCTGGACCTACTTCTGGGCTAAGGGTAATTACAGTATAATTCTTTCCCATGAGTGAAACACTATTTTAATATAGTGCAGTCAATCATAGCATTTGACATATTAGTTGTTATTATCACTTTTTTTAATTATGTGGTTTTTTGGTCCCTTTCTTGTCTATATGATCATAAGAATGCCCTCATCAAGTTTCATTGAAAACATAACTTATTCTCATTGAGTAGCAAAAGTTAACTTATAAAGGAAACACAATTTAAAGTTGCATGTGAATTGCAGTTATATGACTTTATATGTGAATACAGGAAGAAGTATTATCTTTGTGTTGATACTTCCCTTCTGCTAACAAATTCAAGTTTTCCAATCATTTAGGAATGTTTTCATGTCCTTCAACTGTTGATTTTCCTTATAGATGTCTTGCATAGATTTCAAAGATGAATTCTAAGGACATTTTTGTGTTTATCATGAGGTAATTCTAGTAATGCCTGAACCACTCCCATGATGTTTAATGAGAGCTATGGGGGGCTGGGATAAGAGCTGTTCATTCTCACACAATAACCGACAGACAAATAATTTAGAGAATTCTCACTTCAGAAGACTAAGATGTCACAACCAACCATTATTTAGAACAGCTAAGAGAAGTGGAGGGGAACTATACTTTCAACATGCATATTTTATATCAATTGATCTATGAATTTGTACATATGACTTAGCATCACATTATCTCTAAAACCCTTGAGAGTGGTATATATCAATATTCTTTTTTGATAACTTTTTATTGTAAAGTTTAGAAAATGAGAACAAGATAAAACTAGTGGGAAATGAGATATCAATATTCTTAAGAGGAAAAACCTGAAATTCAGACATTTCTGAATGTATGATGGAGGTTACCCTATTGTGGAGCCAGCATTTAAAATCAGGGCTGTTCCACATGACCCAGCAATTCTCCTATTGGGAATAAACTCAGAGGAACTCAAATCATTCTACAAAAAAGATACCTGCACACGTATGCTTACTGCAGCTCTATTCACAATAGCAAAAACATGGAACCAACTGTGTTGCCCATCAAAGCTTGACTGGATAAAAAAAATGTGGTACATATACACAATGGAATATTATGCAGCCATAAAGAATGACAAATATATGGGCTTTGCAGCAACTAGGATGGATTTGGAGTCGATTATACTCAGTGATTTATCACAGAAACAAAGAACTGAGTTCCATATGTTCTCACTCATAAATGGACCTTGAGCAATTATAATGCTATAAGAAAGCAATTGGTAGTAGTGGGAAACTGTCAGTAGAGCGGGTGGGGGGGGCTGGCAGCTGGGAGAACCTGCTAGGGGAGGGAGAGGCATACCTAATCAACAAGGATCTGGGCTCAGTGGCTCAGCCTGTAATCCCACGCCTTTGGGAGCCTGCGGGTTCGAGATCCGCCTGGGCAGCGAGACTTCATCTCTACAATAAATCAAAAAATCAGCCGGGCGTGGTAGCGCATGCCTGTAATTCTGGCTACTTGGAAGGCTGAGGCAAAAAGATCGCTGGAGCCCAGCAGGTCGAGGCTGCAGTGGCCGGGAGCAGTCACCGCACTCCAGTCTGGGTGACAGAGTGAGACTCCAACTCAAAAAAAAAAAAAAAATCAACAAGGGTATCTGCATGATCAATGTTTATATACCTAACCGTGAAATGTACCCCACACATCTTTATAATAAAATTTTTTTTAAAAATCAGGGCTGTTTTACTATAACCATACTCTACTTTTTGATGAGTAAAACTTCCTGAGTAAAGACAGTGTATAAATCTTAAGGTTGTGAAAAGACAAGAATAATTTAACTTTCATCAAGACTCCAGAGACCCACAGAGCTCTGCAAATGGGCCCTCAACTTTGTGAAATTTTGGATTGACAAAAAATCTTTGGTTGATCAAACTTTAGACAGGTCCCTTAATCTTTTCCTAGGTCCATCTGTGCAGTTCCTTGTAAAATCCAATTTTAGCAAGACACTTGTTAAGCCAGTTTAGCAAGAGACTCCATCTTCAATATCTGATCACTCTCAAGATCTGATCAGGATTCTCACCCACCATCACCCAGGTGATGTCTGATCACTCTGGCCTATCTTCAGAAAGACCACTGCTAGGTCAGCTTAGCCGGAATTCTTCACCCTGCAGCTGTTTTTTTAGTGATTTTCCATTCACTGACCCTCACTGTTCTTCCTGGCTACAAATTCTCACTAGCCCATGCTGTATTCAGAATTGTGTCCAATCTCACTCGCCCACTGCAAAATCCTATTCTGGTGGACCCTAGACCTATCATTATGGTACTGAATAAAACCTGTCTTACTCTGCTTTAGCAAGTATCACTGAATGACTTTTGCATTACCAGTACCAAGGGTGAATCTAAGACAGTATACAGGATTTCCCTGTGTCCCACAGCCAGTGTGTATTATATGTATGAGATACCTACACCACATCCAGAAAACAATCCCTTTCTTTTTCCTATTAGGCTTTCTCTAAAAATAATTTGAAACATTCCAGTTTATTTAGTGCCTACTTGTGGAGGACGGGCTGTGCAGGGCTTTCCAAAGGACCCTTCAACATTTGGGAATAATAATAAAACACGTGAATTATTTATCATGTTTGACATGGCAATTCCATAATGATTTGATTTTCTATAGTCTTTTCCATGGCATTATGTAGATTAGAAAAAAACAGAAAACAATTAAAATACCCAACAGTCAAGAAATTGGTTAAATAAATTAGGGTATGCATTCAGAACAATTTCATGCTAACAACTACATTTTGTAAAAAAAAAAAAAAAAAAAGTTTAACACAAAAATGTGCCCAGGATATAACAGTGAAAAACTGGGGCAACTCCCTTGGGTCCCCTCCCACTCTAGGAGCTTTTCTGTCCTCTCAGTAAATACTGCTTTCTCAACTTAATAAAAGAAAAAGTAGTTATGGCTTTACTACATACTAAGGAGCCTGATCTCATCTGAAAAAGTGAGTTTTGTTTTGTTTTGTTTTAAAGTTGTGGGGTACAGTTCAGGGTTAGGTATACAAATGCTCACCATGCAGGTACCCTTGTTGATGAGGTGTGCCCCTCCCTCCCCTGGAAGTTTCCCAGCACTATCAATCCCTTTCCTATAGTATTATAATTGTTCAAGATCCACCCATGAGTGAGAACACATGGTACTCTGTTCTTTGTTTCTGTGATAGATCACTGAGTATGACTGACTCTAAACCATCCAAGTTGTGGCAAAGTCCGTATGTTTCTCCATCTTTATGGTTCCATAATATTCCATTGCGTATACATATCACATTTTTTTAATCCAGTCCAGCTTCAATGGGCAGCATGGTTGGTTCCATGTTTTTGCTATTGTGAATAGAGGTGCAACAAACATGCATGTGCAGGGTCTTTTTTGTAGAATGATTTGCGTTCCTCTGAGTATATTCCCAATAGGGGGATTGCTGGGTCATATGGAAGGTCAATTTCTAGTTCTTTCAGAAATTACCACACTGTCTTTGAAAAATTAAGTTTACACTGCAGTATACTTCCCGTATTGTCTGCAAAATGTGCATCTTTGTGCAGGAGGCTGACCCAATATAACACAAATTTTCTTTTTTTTTTTTTTTGAGTTGGAGTCTCACTGTTACCCAGACTGGCCACTGCAGCCTCAACCTGCTGGGCTCCAGTGATCCTTCCGCCTCAGCCTTCTGAGTAGCTGGCACGACAGGCGTGTATTACCACACCAGGCTAATTTTTTTGATTTATTGTAGAGATGAGGTCTCACCAAGTTGCCCACACAAACTTTCAAATGAATGACTGGATTGCTATTAACTTGTTTAAAGTATGTCTTCAGAATTGCTTATGTTTTCCGATTTTCATAAAGTGGACCTGTGTTGGTTACCTTTCAGTCAAGGATGCTCTTACACCAAGAAAGTGGCACTAGCTGTATTGGAGAAGCCGGATGGACGACGCTGTTCCTGTGTCAGCCATCCCAAGCCCAGCAGAATTTTTCTCTCCTTCCACCTCCACACGCTTCAGGAGGAGTAGCCGGCCATCCCACAGCATCCTAAGGACCACCTCAGTGCCAGCAGAAAGCTGATTCAACTCAACAACTTCAAGGGTCTCTAAATTAAATTCAGAACATGTGTTGTGTTTACTGATACACGATTTCATAACAGGTCATTTTTCAGTATTTTATTTGAAAACACAAGACTCCCAGTGAGAACGTGTGGGATCTGTGAATGAAGAATCCCATTTTTAGGGTTTTTTTTTTTTGCCAATGTGATATTCATTTCATGCTTAATTTGTATGAACCAATGAAATTCACAGGTGGTTTTTTCCCCCATGTGAGTTCTCTGATGTGTAGTGATGTGTAGTGAGGACTGCCTTCTGGTAGGTTTTTCCACAATCATTACATTTATAGGGTCTTTCCCCTGTATGAGTACCCTGATGCATCCTAAGGTTTGACTTCTGGCTGAAGGTTTTTCCACCTTTATTACACTCACAAGGTTTTTCCCCTGTGTGCGTTTGCTGATGGATGGCAAGAACTGAATTCAGACAAAACGTTTTCCCATGTTCATTACATTCACAGGGTTTTTTCCTGGTGTGACTTCTCAGACGGACAGTGAGTTTTGACTTCTGGGCAAGTTTTCCTACACTCTTTACATTCATATGGTTTCTCACCCATGTGAGTTCTGTGATATACAGTAAGGACTGACTTCTGGTAAAAGGTGTCCCCACATTCATTACATTCGTAAGGTTTCTCTCCTGTGTGAATTCTGATGTACACCGAGGGCTGACTTCTGATAGGTTTTCCCACATGCGATACATTCATAGGGTCTCTCTCCTGTGTGTGTTCTGTGATGATAAATAAGGGCTGACATTTGGCAGAAAGTTTCCCCACATTCATTACATCCATAGGGTTTCTCCCTTGTGTGGATTCTCTGATGAACAGTCAGATTTGACTTCTGACAGAATGACTTCTCACATTTGGTACATGCATAGGGTTTCTCCTGTGAGTGTGTTCTCTGATGGTTTGTAAGGTACAGTTTCTTAATAAAGGATCTGTCACATTCTATACATTTATAGGGGTCCTCTCCTGTGTGTATTTTCTGATGTTTAGTAAGTTTAGAATTTTTATGAAATGCTTTCCCACATATATTATATTCAAAAGTTATCTTTTGAGGAATGAGTACTGACTTATCACAAGCTTTCCCACATTCATTTACAGGCAGCAGTCTCTCCCCTATAAACCTTCTTACGTATAAACAATATTGCCTTCGTGTTGAAGATTTTTCCTTGTCCACTAGATTCAAAAAGCTGCTGCCCAGTTTGACTACTGTGATGGTGACTACGATGCTCATGATGTGTGAGAGATTTCCCAGTTACAGTTTGGTTATCAGGTTTTTCTCTAGCCTGCATTTCATGAGGCTCAATAGTGACATGCACATTCTGACATATGTTGAACACCTCAGACTTCATTCCTGAGTAGTTTCCATTATTTATCATCAGATTTGGGATATGGTGTGAGCGCAATTTAAATGTTTTTCCTAATTCAACTCTCTCCTCAGTTGATGTTTTGCTGTTGGTAATTACAACTTGCCACAGATGTCTACCATGAGTTTCCAGGTTCCTCTCAATTATGTCATTGACTATCTGGACATCTGAAATGAGAAAAAAGTATCCATATAAATGAATCACACATAGGCTTTTTTTTTAGAATGCTCAAATAAAGGTAAAAAAAGTTACATTCTCTCCTACTGGCATAAGCTTATATAGAAATGAGTAATCAGTATTGGTATCATAAGTATATGGCTGTTCTTCCTACTGACTTACTGTAAGAAATTACAATAATAGATTTTCTAATGTGAAATGGTACTTTTCATGACTTGTTTAATTTGTATTTTCTTTTTCAATTCATTAAGAAATATCTGTGGCCATAGGTACCCGTGGGGAAGTTGAAATATTAACACATTCACGACCAGCAAAATTTTTAACCTTCCTAATACTGAGCATGGGTGAAAATTTTTAAAAATCTGAAGCTGGTTGCCGCACACTTCTGTCATTAAGCACAAGTTAAATGGTCTTTTCTAAATGATCACCTTTTTCACAATACAGCTGAAAATTGCAGACATATCCAGGATTTGCTCAGACACCACTCTGACTACCATTCCATACTTTGTCCTTTTATTCAGATTACAAACCCAAAAAGACAGATGTTCACAATGAGGTAACATGGATTCATCCAAGGAAAGTTCTTGTGTAGATTTGTACAGTGTTGAACTTATTTAAAACATAATTTGGCCAGGCTCGATGGCTCAGCCTCTAATCCCAGCACTTTGGGAGGCCAAGGTGAGTAGACTGCCTGAGACCACAGATTTGAGGCCAGCCCAGGCAACTTGGCAAGATCTCATCTCTACAATGAATCAAAAATTAGCCAGAAGGACCGCCTGAGCACACAGGTCAACACTGGGGTGGCCATGAGTGTGCCACTGCACTCCAGCCTGGGCGACAGAGTAAGACTCCAACTCAAAAAAAAAAAAAAATTATTACAGGTTCAATTTTGCATAACCTACTTGAATTTTTTTACTACATTTCTGCATTGGAAAAATGCAAAAGCAGCAAAATCAGTAGGAATAGATTTCATGTCATTATTTTTTAAAAGAAAGGCACCGCAGTTGGTGAACATGTTGAGCAATAATCATGTACTGTGGTTTCCTTCACTTATCCCATCAAAATATTTAATGCTAGAAATTTTTTCATCTCAGGCACTGTAGTATTGCTCCACTTTTTTAATTTCTTTGGACATTTATATCTGTGGTGCATCTGATCAGTTTCAGCTGCGATCATTTCTATAAAATCATCTCCAATAAATAGTCTGACAACATTACTAATACTTTGAAGATCATTTGGAAATAACTTGACACCTGAATTACCAATAAACACTTCAAGTTTCTTTTTGGATATTTTGTCTGATTCGTTCTCACCAGTACTAGATTCACTGTCATAGATTATCTGCATTATATTTCTTCGTTTACACTGCATCATTTACATCTGTCTGTAAATGATGTCTGTCTCACTATCTGTCTGTCTCACTATCACTAATAAGTTCGCTAGATTCACCTTCAACCTCGGAAATCTCATCAGCATATATTTCCTCATTTTCTATAATTAGGATAAATTATTTTTAATGCTGAAGTATGAAAGCCCTGAAATATCAAAATATAAGTATACAACACTAATCACAACAAAATGACCAACTTGCAATTTTTACCAACTACATAAATCAATAACAACATTTTGTGGTTGATATCAGATAATTATCACAATTAACTCTCTCTCCTTGCCTGACTATTCATTTTCAAGCAAAATATAGTAACACATGCATATGACAACGTTACAGCATTCAGAAACATAATTTGCAAAGACATGAATTCATGTCAGCAGCAACCAGGAACAGAATTTGAAATGACATAAATAAACATCAGCAGTCACGAATGAGTTTAAAAAAAAAAAAAGAAATATTTGATAAAAATATTCACCTACTGCCCAGTTGTAGTTTTCAACTAAGAACTTATCAAACCTGCCATTTGTTTTCTGTTTTATTGCTGTAACAATGTGAGGTGTCTCGTATGCTAACATTTTTCTCATTATCCTAACTTTGCAGATGTTAAGTTTTTCCTGAATCAACTCCCTACTAATGCAGAAGATGGTCCACGGTCTGTCACCTAAGCAGGAATACAGCTTTGGGACCAGGTTTCACACCAATGTTTATATTGTCTGTCTTTCTTTTTTTTCTTTTTTTAAGAGATGGGGTCTCACTCTGTCACCAAGGCTAGGGTACATGGCATGATCATAACTCATTGCAGCCTCAAACTCCTGGGCCCAAACAATCCTCCCACCTTAGCCTCTCAAGTAGCAGGGGGACAGGCACACGCCACCATGCCTGGCTTGCACTAGTGTTTGTTTAGTTTTCACTCTTCCCTGGAAATGGGTATAGGCATCTGGAAGTTTTCTAGATACAAAATCTCTCATCCTCCATGCTAGATGAAGACGGCTTCTAGCAAATTTCTAATTTAACCCAATGCCCTTTGCTCCGTGCATAACTATAACAGGTACATGAAGCTCCAGTCCACCTCCATGGGCATCCCCGCCCAGTCAAATGAAAGTATTTGGCTTGCAATCCAGGCTGTGCACATCATTTCTGAAAAGTCTTTTCCTGGCTCCTATGATCAACAGCTCTGGCATTCTCTCCTAGATTCCTGGTACACTCAACCCTCCTTGATAATTCACTGCTTCTGAAGGTGCTTACTTAGTGTTCAACAGTCTCCTAGTTTCACAAAAAATGGAGTCTCTTATACAATTCTCATTGTCTTATTTTAAAATAATTTCCACAAAGAAGACAGGAAAATGCTAACTACAAGTTTTACTCCCAAACAGAAATCTGAGCCTATCAACATGAGATGCTTGGTTCAATAGGTCTTGGAAACCTCCCGAGTCCAGGACAGCTTATGCTGAATCCTCCTGACCACCAGGACTTCTGACGTTACATTACAAAAGCATCACATGGGGACTTTTCTCATTTTCTGATCAACTCCCTAGGTAACCTCCTCTATAATTATGATTCTAAATACCAGCTTCAAGTTACCAACTTCCAAATTTGTATCTCCAATAGTGATGTCCACTCTTAACTCTGTATCTTATTTCACTTATTACATGTCAAAACTGGGAAAGAGTTACCTCGAGCTGAAGCTACGGCAAAGTAAACTGCCTTTTCTTACCATCCTTCCTAAATTATCATATCCCATTTTACTCTCCCCCACTCTAAAGTTTCTTGTGATTCTTATACAACTATTTAACATTTATTAAGAAAATGACGTTTCCTTTTCACCAGAATGTGAACTTTATGGAAAAAGGGTCACTATTTTGATCACTGCTGTTATAAGTACAACTATAAAATTACCCATCCTGTGTTTACAAGCTAACTCAATTAGAAACAGTAACAGTATTAGAAACAGCAGAAATATTCCGACACTATAATTACAACCTGCTGAATAAACATATGTATGAAAGATGTCTGAAAAAAAAAGTCCACGAGAATTGAGGAAAGAGGGCAACTGAGAAAATGAATAGCAAAGAAATGTCTAATAGGAAGGTAGTACTCAATTTTGATTAAATATAAAAAATACTCAGCAAAATAAAAGGCATGAGAGCCCTTCTTAGATAATATAATGAACATAATTTGATGCATACAGACCAGGTATCCTTAGGTGTGGGGCCTGGGGGAAAATTGGTGAACACAGGTCAACACTGCCAATATCTGCTGGGCTTTACTTACTTCCCGGACCCCCTGCCCAGCATGCATCAGCTAACCTGAATTCTGCTTTGGACGTTCTTCTACCGTCCGTGGCTCTGCTCCCCGCTCCAACTTGAAGATCACCTCAGGTCTGGCAATGCAATGCCCTGTTATTGGGAAATAATGTCGTTCTTAGCCAAATTACTAACTCAGGACCTTTTGAGAAAGACAACAACCAGCTTCAGAAGATGTATGACGAAGGGGCCAATTTGATCCTTTTCTTGGAGTGCACTGACACTAACATTCGTCATGGACTGAATTCTTACTCTTAAGTACCATTACACTTCATCAATGATTCTTATATTTACCAACAAAGAAAAAGTGCGGCTCCTGGAAGTTCCTGGGGAGTTTTGCTCACCCAAGAATACCAGGCTGCTGTAGGTCTCCAGCATCACGTCCCTGTACGGAGTCCTCTGAGCATCATCCAGGTCCTGTCACTCCTCCAAGGTGAAGTCACAGCCACGTCCTCAAAAGACACCAACCCCTGTAAAGGCACATGTCTCATGAACTCATCAGCCTTGGGTTACAAGAAAAGGAATCCAGGTTACAAGAAAAGGAACTCGTGTGTGTGTGCACGTGTCTTACATGTATCTTATATAATACGCAGCTTCTTTGTACTTCACATGGTGGGAGAAAGAACAATCACAGTAGAATATTCTGACACTGTAATAATTTTTTAGTTAATATATACTATTACAAAGTTTACCTTATAACCTAGAATCATTGTTGTTGTAAAAGATAAAAGTATAAATAAAATTCTGTTCCTCCAAGGATCTTATATCTGGCATGAAGGCATAAGTATAAATACATATCTGGAATAATGTGATAGATAAGCCAATGGAGATACAAGTTTAATGTTGATTGGAATAAGAAAGAAAGAGAAAACATAGTTCTATATTGTATCATAAGGTTGTACTTCATTGAAAAACCAAAAATATTTAGTTTTCCCACATAGACCATATTTTTTTTGACTTATTGTAGAGATGAGGTCTCGCCAAGTTCAGTCACAAGGACACAAAGTACACACACCACATCAATGGAACTAAAGAGAGCACTGTGTTTAGACAAACAACCCTGGGTCTTGATGAGAGAGGAAAACACAAGAACGAAGGAACTGATTATGAAATAATTCTGCATTTAAATATATAACCTAATTACAAAATAAAATAGTACACATCATTTTTTAGTTAGTTAACAATTAAAAGCATATATACAGGCATCCCAAAATTTCCTATCCACCTGCCAAAGGACTGCTTCTGTCCATCCCAGGATGAACACTCTTACTTATAGCCAGAGTGTATAAATAATGAGATCCTAGAAGAACAAGTCGGTTACATGACCAGACATGCTTTTTTTTTTTTTTTGAGTTGGAGTCTCACTCTGTCGCCCAGACTAGAGTGCAGTGGCTGCTCCTGGCCACCGCAGCCTCGACCTGCTGGGCTCCGGTGATCCTTCCACCTCAGCCTTCCAAGTAGCCGGAATTACAGGCATGCGCTACCACGCCCAGCTGATTTTTTGATTTATTATAGAGATGAGGCCTCGCTGCCCAGGCGGGTCTCGAACTCGCGGGCTCAGGCAATCCACTCACCTCAGCCTCCCAAAGGTGCGGGATTACAGGCTGAGCCACCGAGCCCGGCTCAGACATGCTTTTAACAGTCATTCCCTAGAAGGACAATAGAGAAGGACTTAAGGAATAGTCAGAGGGAAAGGAAACAGGGTGACAGACAACCATCTACATCAAGACACAGAGCAGTAAGAATAGACAATAGGGAAGTCATTTTTAAAAAGGAAAATAAAAGGCAGGAACAAAATTTGGTACTAATTTACTGTACAGAGGGCAAAAGAAAACATTTTACTTTTAGACTATCTATACAGTCATACCTAGTTGGGTACTGGCCCTATGTGGAAAAATCGAAGAATATGATGAGCAGAAGTGGCACAGACTTAGACACATCATACTTGAAATCTGAGTAGCTGGATAAACGATTCCAGAATTAAGAAGACATAACTAAGCAGAAGATAAATATTTGTAAAGTATCAGAATTTCAATGATATCTGCAGCCATCAGAGTTTATGAATCAAACTGAAAGAAAAAAAAAGGAACAAGTTCAAAATCTATAAAAACATTGACCAAGAACAAATTTTTCTAAGTTTTTTCTACAAATAAAAGTCCAATATTAAGAAGTCTAAGCCGGGTTCGGTGGCTCAGCCTGTAATCCCCCGCCTTGGGAGCCTGAGGTGAGTGGACTGCCTGAGCCCGTGGGTTCGAGACCCGCCTGGGCAACGTGGCGAGACCTCATCTCTACAATAAGTCAAAAAAAAAAAAAAAATTAGCCAGGCATGGTAGAGCATGGCTGTAATTCCAGCTACTTGGAAGGCTGAGGTGGAAGGATCCTCAGAGAGCCCAGCAGGTCGAGGCTGCGGTGGCCAGGAGCAGCCACTGCACTCCAGTCTGGGCGACAGCGTGAGACTCCAACTCAAAAAAAAAAGAAGTCTGCTAATGTAATTCATCATATCCATAGTTCTGTGAAGAAAAATTCTTTGATTATCCACATAGACACTGAGAGGGTACTTCTACCCAGTTTCTATTTCTGCATATAAGGAGCTTGGGAGTCAGCACACCAATGCTCTTCTTTTTTTTTTTTTCCAAGTTGGAGCCTCACTCCTTCACCCAGGCTGGAATACAGGAGCACACACGCTCAGGGCCACCCCAGCGTCGACCTGCTCTCCAAACAGAGTGAGATGAAACAACATACTCTAAATAAAGCATGAGTAAAAGAAATCTCAAAAGAAATTTTAAAATGTTTTTAATAAGAATGAAAATTTAAAAATTCAGGCATTAGGGGCTAATTTTTTAAAGAAATAAACAAGCAGGAATCAGGAAATTTTTTTTAAAAATGAATGAAAATAAAAACAAAACTTATCAAAATTTGTAAAATACAACAAAAACATTGTTTAGAAGGAAATTTATGGTATTGGCTGCATATATTAGAAAAAAGACCTAAGATAAATAATCTAAGCTTTTGACTTAGGAAATTAGAAAAAAAGAGCAAATTAAATATAAAGCAAGCAGAAGAAATTATAAGAACTAGAGTGAAAATCGTTGAAATGGAAAACAGAAAATCAATAGTGAGTTATCAGCAACAACAAAAAAGCTTGTTCTTTAAGAAATTAAATAGAAACTGTCGGGGAAGGGGGGTGAGATTGGCAATTGAGGGAAACTGCTAGGGGAGGGAGGGGCACATCTCACCAACAAGGGTACCTGCATAATCAACGTTTGTATACCTAACCCTGAATTGTATCCTACATCTTCATAATAATAAAAAAAAGAAATTAAATAAGGGCAACTCCCTCAGGTCCCCTCCCACTGTGGGAGCTTTTCTGTCCTCCCGTTAAATCCTATTTTCAAAAAAAAAAGAAAAAAAGAAATTAAATTAGCATATAGCAAGGCTAACTAAGAAAAAATACAGTAGACAGAAATTACTAATATCAGAAATCAGAGACACCAATACAAATCCTGTGCACATTAGAAATGTAATAAAGGAACACTGCGAACAATTCTCTAGGCATACATCTGATAACCTAAATGAAATGGACCAATTCCTTGAAAGACACAATTTACTAAAACTCACCAAGACAAAATACAGAATCCAAATAACCTTACCTTCAAAATAATTGAATAAACCACTAATAACCTTTAAAATAAAAATCATCTGGCCCAGATGTGTTCACTGGTGAATCTAACCAAGCTTTAAAGAAGAAATTATACCAATTTCCTACAATCTATTTCAAAGGATAGAGGCAGATGAAAGATTTCCTAGCTCATTCTATGAGGCCAGCATTATCCCAATGACAAAACCAGAAATAGAAAACTATAGTCCATAATCTCTCATGAAGGTACACACAAAAATCCTCAAAAAATATTAGCATCCAGGCACAGTGGCTCAGCCTGTAATCCCAGCACTTTGAGAGGCCGAAGCAAGAGGATTGCCTGAGCCCGGGAGTTTGAGAACAGCCTGGGTAACTTGGTGAGATCTTGTCTCTACAGTAAATCACAAAAACTAGCCGGGTGTGGTGGCGTGCATCTATAGTTCCAGACACTGGAAGGCTGAGGCGAAAGGATCACCTAAGCCCAGCAGGTCGAGGCTTTGGTGGCCATGAGCGTGCCACTGCACTACAGTCTAGGCGATAAGAGTGAGACTCCAACTCAAAAAAAAAAAAAAACTAGCAAATCAAATCCAATAAAAAAAAAAAAAAAGAATTATACAAGGCTGGTTCAACATATGAACATCAATTAATGCAATTAATCACATCGAGGGTATGAAAAAACTACAACTAACATCATAATTATGAGAAACTCAAAGCTTTTCCATAAGACCAGAAAGAAAGCAACAGTGTACCCTCATGTTACTCCGTTCAACATCATACTGAAAATACTAGCAAAGGAAATAAGACAAGAGAATGGCCAAGTACAGAGGTTCACACCTGTAATCTAGCACTTTGGGAGGCCAAGGAGGGAAAACTGCTAGAGCCCAGGATTTTGAGACCAGCCTAGGCAATATAGCGAGACCTCATATCTACAAAAATATTACAAAATTAGCCAGGCATGGTAGCATGCATCTGTAGTCCCAGCTACTCGTGAGGCTGAGGCGGAAGGATCGCCTCAGCCCAGAAGGTTGAGGCTGCAGTGGCTGTGAGCATGCCACTGCACTCCAGCCTGGGCAACAGAGTGAGACTCTGAATCAATCAATAAATCAATAAATAAAAACAAGATACTGGGCCGGGCATGGTGGCTCACGCCTGTAATCCCAACACTTTGGGAGGCGGAGGCAAGAGGACTGCCTGAGCCCTGAAGTTCGAGACCAGTCTGGGCACCTTAGTGAGACCTCATCTCTACAATAAATCAAAAAAAATAAAAATAAAAAATTAGCCAGCATGGTGGTGCATGCCTGTACTTCCAGTACTTGGAAGGATGAGGCAAAAGGATCACCTGAAGCCAGAAGGTCGAAGCTGCAGTGGCCAGGCAGCCACTGCACTCCAGCCTGGGCAACAGAATTAGACTACAACTCAATAAAAAATAAAAATAAATAAAACAACAAGATACCACTACATATCCAGTAGAATGACCAAAAGCTGGAGCACTGACAACAAATGCCAGTGAGGGTTTGGAGCAACAGGAACTCTCATTCAATGGTTGAGAAAATACAAAATACTAGTCACTTTGTAAGACAATTTGGTAGTTCTTACCAAACAAAACATATTCTTTTCAAATGATTCAGCAATCGAAATCCTTGGTATTTACCTAAAGGAGATGAAAACTAATGACTGTATAAAAACCTGTTAACAGAGGTTTATAGCTGCTGTATGCAAAATAGCTAAAATTTGGAAACAAATAAGATGCTCTTCAGTAGGAGAATAGATCAACTGTAGTACAACCAAACAACACAACAGTATTCAGCACTAAAAAAGAGCCGGCTATCTAGTTGCAAAAGGATATGGAAGAAACTAAGTATATTAAGTATAATACTAAGTATATTACTAAGTAAAAGGAGACAGTCTGAGAAGGCTACATAATGTAATTTCAATTATACAATATTCTTGAAAAGGCAAAATCTATGGAGACTACAGGATTGTAGTAACAATAAACAGAAAGAGCACAAACGACTTTTGGAGTAATGAATATACTCTGTGTGGTACTATCTATCCAGACCCACAGAATGTACAATACCAAGATTAAACCGTAATGTAAACTACGGCCTTCGAATGACTAGAATATCTCAATGTAGGTTCGTCAATTGCAACAAAGGTACCACTGGTGGGGGATGTTGGTAATGGGGGAGGAGACCGTATATGTAGAGATAGGGTTATATGGGAAATCTATGATTCTTCCTCTTAACTCTGCAGTGAAATTAAAACTATTCTAACAAAATAAAATAGTTTTACTTAAAAAAAAAGAGTCCAACCATCTAAAAACTTGTTTCTAACAATAAAAGTAAAATCAGTATTAAAAATACTTTCCCATTTGTAATAAAAACTCTCAGTAATAATAGATAAAGAAAATGTGGTCTTTACATGTAATGAAATATTATTCAGTTGTAAAAAGAAGAAAATCTTGCCATTTGTAACAACATGCACACACCTAGAGGGCATCATGCTAAGACATAAACCAGACAGGAACAAAGTGCTACATAATCCCATCTGTTATGGACTAAATGTGTGGTGTTCCCCCAAATTAATATGTTGAATCTCATCAACAAGGTAAAAGTATTAGAAGGTGAAGCCTCAGGGGAGTGATCAGGTGAGAGTTCCTTCCTCTTAAATGGGACCTAATGGTATACATAAAGGACCTGATGGTCTTTACTACAAGGGTATATATAAAGGACCCAATGATTTTTTTGTTTTGTTTTTTTTTTTTTTTGAGTTGGAGTCTCACTCTGTCACCCAGACTGGAGTGCAGTGGCCGCTCCCGGCCACCGCAGCCTCGACCCGCTGGGCTCCGGTGATCCTTCCACCTCAGCCTTCCAAGTTGCTGGAACTACAGGCACACACTACCACACCCAGCTAATTTTTTTGATTTATTGTAGAGATGAGGTCACGCCAAGTTGCCTAGGCGGGTCACGAACCCACCAGCTCAGGCAATTCACTCACCTCGGCCTCCCAAGGCACAGGATTACAAGCTGAGCCACCGAGCCCGGCCAGGACTGGTGTCTTTATAAGAAGTGATTAGGACACAGACACAGAGGGCTCACCATGTGAGGACACAGGGAGAAGATGGAATCTATTAGATCCCAGGAGAAACGAATCCAGTCTCAGAATTTGAAAATAAATATGACTGAAGCCTCCCAATCTGTGGTGCTTTGTTGTGGCAACTGAGCCAATTAGCACAAGGGGACTCTGCAGCCTCTCAAAGCCGGTCTGCCAGCTGCCTTGACCACCCCCCCCACTCTCACTCACATGGGCACATCACTTCCTTTAAATCCGGCTTGCTTTTTTTTTTTTTTTTTTGAGTTGGAGTCTCACTCTGTCACCCAGACTGAAGTGCAGTGGCCGCTCCCGGCCACCGCAGCCTTGACCTGCTGGGCTCCAGCGACAGGCGTGTCTCAGGTAATCCACTCGCCTCAGCCTCCCAAAGTACGGGGATTACGGGTTGAGGTGATTATTTATGTCACTGTCTGTGATCATGGTTTCATGGGTAAGTACTAATCTCTAAAGTGTCTGCCATGTTCATGACAGTCTCAATAGGTGAATAGAATAAATAGGGATAACTAGGGACCAATAGAACATTTGATTAGCTACGTTAAGGAAAAGAAAGTAGGAGAGCTGGGCCTGGTGGCTCGGCCTGTAATCCTGCGCTTTGGGAGGCTGAGGTGAGTGGATTGTCTGAGCCCGCGGGTTCAAGACCCGTCCAGGCAACTTGGCGAGACCTCATCTCTACAATAAATCAAAAACTAGCCGGGCGTGGTAGCGCGTGCCTGTAGTTACGACTCCTTGGAAGGCTGAGGTGGAAGGATCGCCGGAGCCCAGCAGGTAGAGGCTGCGGTGGCCGGGAACGGCCACTGCACTCCAGTCTGGGTGACAGAGTGAGACTCCAACTCAAAAAAATAAAAATAAAAATAAAGTAGAAGAATTCAAGGAAAAAAGAGATCATCAGTGAAGTCATGATAGAACCTACACAGAAGAATTTCCAGGAGAAAAATCGTGAACAATTGTTTGAAATACAGAAGACTCCCTTTACACATGGGGGATATATTGTAGGTATCCCAATGAATGCCTGAAACTGGGTATGGTACTGAATCCCATATATACTATGTTTTTTTCCTTATACATCATGCATGTTAGTTTAAAAATTAGAAAAGTATTAATAACTAATAAAATAAGGCCGGGCTCGGTGGCTCAGCCTGCAATCCCCCGCTTTGGGAGGCCGAGGTGAGTGAATTGCCTGAGCCCGCAGGTTTGAGACCCGCCTAGGCAACTTGACGAGACCTCGTCTCTACAATAAATCAAAAAAGTTAGCCAGGTGTGGCAGCGCACGCCTGTAATTCCGGCTACTTGGAAGGCTGAGGCGGAAGGGTCGCCGGAGCCCAGCAGGTCGAGGCTGCGGTGGCCGGAGCGGCCACTGCACTCCAGTCTGGGTGACAGAGTGAGACTCCAACTCAAAAAAAAAAAATAAACAATTACAACAATAAACTGTAGTAAAAGCTATGTGAAAGTGGTTGATCTCTCTTCTCATCCCCAAAATATCTTATTGTACTGTATCCACCTATTTACTGATCATGGTTAACCATGGATAACTAAAACCACAGAAAGCAAAACTGTGAATCGGGGAGCTGCTATATAGCAGAAGATTCAAGCAAGGAAAACTAGAGAATAGTCATTGGATTTGACTATAATTTAGGCTACTGGTGAGCTTTGGAATAAATGAATTAAGGCTACATTGAGTGGGTTACAGTGCAAATAAGCAATGGAAATATTTGCCAGAAAATTTAATTTCGAACAGTCTGCTACACTACACATACAGATAAACTGAGAGAAATGTATGGAGACTTATTTCAGGACCTGTGGTTGACTCAATCCTCCAGATATTCCAGACTTCATCCATGAATCAAGTAAGGTCTTCCAAAAGCTGCCTGAGACCACAGAACTCCAGAAACATGTAATTATGGAAGTTGTACCTTAGTACTAAATAACCGTTTACACAGCAGAATGCTGACAGTGTTTATTTCCAGGTTGATAGCAAAAAACACTCTACTACATCATCTATGTAACCAGTGAAGTCAGTGTTTTAGCTTTTGGTGCCAATAAGTCTTCTCCCATGAGAATGTAGCATGCTGTCTCCCTACATTCCATTCCAATTATGTAATAAACATGGCTGCCGTTTGGCTACAGCATCAGAAAGAAGAGACAAATTTGTGCTTAATTTAGCTGACTCGAGCTCTTATAACCTGCACATATCTACATGCTAACGTTATTTGTGCATATTTCCTTCCAGCTGAGTTTTATTAATTCTATTTTCCATTTTAATTCATGGACCCCACAATGGCATAAAATACAATGTAAAATAAAATGAAGAATAAACAAACAACTCACCAGAAATGCACTCATTTTTGTTGTTCTGGAAATACACGAAGCACTCTGGAAGCACAGCTAGGAAAGAAGTCAAACGGAAAAAATTAAGGAAAGAACTGGTGTGGCGCGGCCCTCAATTCTCCTGCCCAAAACTCTCTACAGCTTAGCTGGAAAAGACAACAACAACAACAACAACAACAACAACAAAACCCTCTCTGTGACAGAACAGTCCTTCACATCACAATAAGGGGCAACAAAGACCCCAATGAAGGTGTACCTAGAAACAGATTAATCAATAGAAATTAGACAAACAATTTGTTTTTGAGTTGATGAAAACACTTTACCCACTGACTTAGCCACAATTAATGCTACCTAAATGTACTAAGGGAAGCCTCCAAAAACAGTATATACAAAAAATTGCGCACTTTTTTTTTTTTTTTGAGTAGGAGTCTCACTCTGTTTGCCAAGGCTGGAGTGCAGTGTCAGGCTCACAGCCTCGGCCTGGTGGGCTTAGGTGACCCTTCTGCCTCAGCCTTCCAAGAAGCTGGAACTACACCGCACCTGGTTAATTTTTTGATTTATTATAGAAATGAAGTCTCACCAGTTGCCCAGGCTGGTCTCGAACCCCTGGACTCAGGCAATCCTCTCGCCTCAGTCTCCCAAAGTGCTGGGATTATAGGCTTGAGTCACCATGCCCGGCTTGTGTATTTACTCCTACACAAGTCACCTTCAAAGTACTCTCTGTTTGATGCAATAAGCCTATTGAAATGCTTTTACCAATGCTCAAAACTGTTTTTGAGTTTGTCAACTCTGATGCCTTGTAGTGCTTCTGTCATTTTTTGTTTCACTGCTTCCACATCAGCAAAACATTTCCCTTTGAGGACTTTTTTCATCCAGGGAAACAAAAGAAAAGGTGCTAGGGGCAAGATCGGAATGAACAGGGAGGGTGGGGCATAGGGGTCACGTTGTAAAAAACTGCTGAACACTCAGTGTGGTATGGGCAAGTGTGTTTGTAAATCACCCATCAATAAATGTGCAAATGCGATGAAAGAATGTCCAGAAAAAAATTCAGTGAAGTCTAATGCAGCCTGTCACAGCAACGCTAGCTAGTATGCTGATGCCGATGGGTTCCTGGAACACTTACCTAGTGGGGGAAGCCTGTACTACAAAGGGCCCACCTTCCAAAAATAATTGGGGTTTTTTTGGGGGGGAGGTCTCCCTAAAGAAACATTATGTCTTCACTAAAATTAATGTTACAGAAATATACATTGGGCAGCCAGGTGTGGTGGCTTAGCCTATAATCCCAGCACTTTGGGAGGCTGAGGCAGGAGGATTGCTTGAGCCCAAGAGTTTGAAACCAGCCTGGGAAACAGCAAGATCTTGTCTCTACAAAACAATTTTTTTAAAATCAGCAGGACATGTTGGCTCGCTACTGGGGAGGCTGAAGTGAATCACCTGTGCTGAGGAGGTTGAGGCTGTGGTGAGCTGTGATTATACCACTGCACTCCAGCAGTGCAGAGTGAGACCCTGACTCAAAATATATACATACATGTTTACGTAAACACACACACTTGAGCTGAATTATCTATTTCCCTATTAACCCTCTGCACTCAGATGTACCCTCTGAGGGGACATCATAAATCTAGCAAACCCTGAGAGGGGACATAAATAAATTGCTGGTAGCCGGGCTCGGTGGCTCAGCCTGTAATCCCATGCCTTTGGGAGGCTGAGGTGAGTGGATTGCCTGAGCCCGTGGGTTCGAGACCCGCCTGGGCAGCGAGACCTCATCTCTACAATAAATCAAAAAATCAGCCGGGTGTGGTAGCGCATGCCTGTAATTCCGGCTACTCGGAAGGCTGAGGCGGAAGGATCGCTGGAGTCCAGCAGGCAAGGCTGCAGTGGCCGGGAGCGGCCACGGCACTCGTCTGGGCGACCGAGTGAGACTCCAACTCAAAAAAAAAAAGAGAGATTGCTGGTGATTATATAGGACAAATTTATGCAAGAGCATATTTTTCAAAAATGTATGTTATTTTGAAGTTCTCCATTCAAACCGCATGAAAATGAAAAGAAAGAGATGGAATATAAACTGAGATACAATCGATCAGTTGAGAAGGAATCATGACTGCATCCTTCCACATCTTTGAACAACAGACGGAACAATTATATACTATTAATGTGGGGAGAAAATGAGACATTAACTGCTTGACTAGAAAAACACCAAGCAGAAGATGTCAAACAAATTACTATTTTACAACACACATCAATGAACCTGCAATGCATGTCAGTGTCACATAACAAAAATAGAAGATACAAAATTTTGATTTTTTGTCATGAATAAGTTACTCAATGTCCAAAATTCCATTATAAGTCAAACATCATTGCAATAAAAGAACTGGTTCCGGGGTGGGAGAGGGGAAAAAAAAAGAACTGGTTCCAATGCTATACTATTTTCACTATTTCATTAAAAAGTGCACTCAGGCAGAGCTCAGTGTCTCAGCCTATAATCCCAGCACTTTGGGAGGCTGAGGTAAATGGATTGCCTGAGGCTGCAGGTTTGAGACTAGCCCGGGCAACTTGGCGAGACCTTATCTCTATAATAAATCAAAAATTAGCCAGGCATGGCAGCGCATGCCTGTAGTTCTGGCTACTTGGAAGGCTAAGGTGGAAGGATCGCCAAAGACCAGCAGGTCGATGCTGGAGTGGTGTGAGCATGCCACTGCACTCCAGCCTGGGCAACAGAGTGAGGCTTCAACTAAAAAAAAAAAAAAATGGACTCAAGTTGCTGGTAGGTGATCAACAAAATGTCTCCAAGTGCAAAGGGTTAATATTGGGATTTCACACAATTGTGTTTCCAGTAGAACGTGCCTTGATTTTCTGTATCTAAAGATCATGAAAATATGCACTTTGCAATCCAACATTTTTGCCCACAATTATATAGGAAAAAATGTATACAGTGTATATTTTGGAGGGTTAATGTTTCCCAATGACACATCTTCCTGTATCCAATCTCTACTATAGTATGCTCTAAAAAGAACTGGGCTTTACCATTTGACTTGTTTTAGCCAATAGGACAGTAGAAAAATATAATGAAAATAAAGGTCGGAGCCGGGCTCCGTGGCTCCCACGCTTTGGGAGGCTGAGGTGAGTAGACTGCCTGAGCCCATGGGTTCAAGACCCACCCAGGCAACTTGGCGAGACCTCGTCTCTACAATAAATCAAAAAATTAGCTGGGCATGGTAGCGCACACCCGTAGTTCCAGCTACTTGGAAGGCTGAGGCGGAAGGATTGCCGGAGCCCAGCAGGTCGAGGCTGTAGTGGTCAGGAGCGTGCCACTGCACTCCAGTCTGGGCGACAGAGTGAGACTCCAACTCATAAAAAAAAAAAAAAAAAGAAAAGAAAAGAAAGGTTGGAAAAGTACTTGCCCACTGGTACTTGTCCTCCTAGACACAATCATACCGTGAAGAAGCCTGGTTCTAATCAGTTGGAGATACAGGGCCTAGCTAAGAGTCAGCACAATGCACAGAAGATGTGAGTAAAGCCATCTTGAAACATATAGTCTCAGTCAAGGCACCAGATAACTAAAGCCTCATTTGTGATCTAGGCAACACCAACATAAGAAATGCCAGGTAAATATACACCAAAACGTGAATCCATAGAACTGATTACAATAAAATAAAATGGATGTTTTTTAAGCCAGTAAGTTTGGTTGGTTAACCAATATATCTAAGCCACCAGAACTCAGTGTTTTTAAATGATGTGAAGAAGATAATCTTAAATTACATGTCAAATATAATCATTAGAATTTCCCAACCACATGCAGAAGTTTTAAAAATCACAAGAAACGTCAACTTGATACAATTCAGTGAGGCAGTTGGTGCTAACAAATACCATGTAAATCATCTGTCTGCACATCAGAAGACTATGTCTTAAATTTTTAACAACGTAAAAAGTCTGTATACTTTTAAAAACATAATACAAAAAAGGCCTGTTGCTTATAAATGAGTATGGTATTGTACTCTATTTGTTTTACATTTTAAGAAATTTTTGGAGTAGAAGTGGAATGGAGTCTAATTTTTCCATTTCAAATAATGTAAAATAGGCTTCAATTATTTTCACCAGTGTATAATTTTCAAGAACAGATTACTGACATTAAGTGGTAAACATTTGTTATTATTTTACTCTTGAGGTATCATAATCCACAGAAAGTGCTGGGTACAAAATAGGTAGCGATGCTTAAGACAAGGTATTTTCAATAAACGTTAGTTTTAAGTTCAGGGTCACAGTAATCTCAAAAGTAAACAAGCACTCGTTTTGACTCAATTGGGGCAAAACGAGTCACACTAGCCAAAAAGTTAAAATACCTACACCTACAAAACTCCTCCAAGTCAACTTGTTCATCTTTCTTATAAGGTAAAAATACCTTAGCAACCCTTCATGAACCACCAGGAAGAGCTATCGGGAGAAAGGGAGCATTAGCATAGCATAGCTCTTGATGCCAAATTCGGTGACAAGTTAAACTTGAGTTAACAGAGCTCAAGACACTGGAAACAATGGGAGATAACTGAAAAAATGAAAGTGTCTTTAGAGAGCACTGTAGACAGTTCCTCTCACGTATGACTGGTTATTTTTCCACCCCAGACCACATCGTCAAGCCCCTTCCAATAAACAATATCTCCTAATTCCTTGCCTATTCTTCTCAAACTCACCTCTTCTTTATGATAGTTGGTCCAAACTTTCCAATAGCTTCCAGTCTTTCACAGCCACGGGATAAATTATCGACCAAATCGTGTGCATTCTAGGGAGAAGGATCAACAACTACTTGGCCATGCAAACTAGGATCCTCACCTGTCTGCGACCCTATTTCTCCTCCTCTGAGGTGCTAGTGAGAGGGCTCAGGCCAGGGGGGTGTTCTTCCAGGCGGACTCCTATTCCCGGGGAGCCCTCCCGCACACTCTGCAACACCTACTTCATCCCAAAGAAAACGGGACCATTCTCTGGAACCCCAAGAGCCCTCGTAGAACTCACCGCGCCCGCAAACCAGGTCTCTGGATGAACTCCTGTAAACTCCCCCCTGCAGGAGGAGACCAAAACCTCGCTTGCTGAAGAGACACCGGGAAACCCCAAAAGACACCCGCCACGTGGAAGACTCAGTCTGCACACGCGT